AAGAAGGCAGGCAAAGCCCAGAAGAAGCCCACTGGAGACAAGAAAAAGAAGAAGAAGAGGCGAGAGACCTACTCTCTCTACATCTACAAGGTGCTGAAGCAGGTCCACCCTGACACCGGCATCTCCTCCAAGGCTATGTCGATCATGAACAGCTTCGTGAACGACATCTTCGAGAGAATCGCCGGTGAAGCTTCAAAACTGGCCCACTACAACAAGCGATCAACCATCTCTAGCCGGGAGATCCAAACCGCAGTCAGACTGCTGTTGCCCGGAGAGCTGGCCAAGCATGCTGTCAGTGAGGGAACCAAGGCCGTCACCAAGTACACCAGCTCCAAGTAGACGATCAGCTTCTACAACTAGTTGCTCTGAGCAACACCAAACCGGCCTTTTTAAAGGCCACCAAAAAGCATAGTTCTATTTGTACTCTAGCTAGCAAGCTCAAATTGGCTTGTATGCAATTTCGAGCTCTCAACAGCTAGCTTTGAGCGTCTAATTTGAGCTACTAAGCTCAACTGAGCTTGTAACTTGCTTAAATCAGCTCCAGACCAACTTTAGAGCTAAAAAACTGCTAAATTTTAAGCTTTCACGTCTCAGCCAATCAGATTTGAGCTTCATTTTGCTCTCTAACTTACAGCTCGAAATAGCTAAGTTTAAGCTTACAAAGCTAGCTAACAAGTCCAATTCAGCTAGCTTAAGCTGAAGTGAGCTTTTAGCTGGCTGAAGTTAGCTTTGGGTCAATTCTAGAGGCAGAAACACCAAAATTTCAAGTTTTCACTTCTCAGCCAATCAGATTCGAGCTTAGTTTGAGCTTCCGCTATCACTCAGACACGGGCCAATCACCTATGCCGCTTTTGGCGGGTAACCTCCAATCCAAGTATAAATAGTCTGCACTTCACATACTTTACTATATATAGTTGAAAATGCTCCTTAATATATATAAGTAACGACTCACCAGAGCTCTCCTTCTATTGCTCTTTTACGTGCCTAACTATTTTTTTATACGTCGAGCGCTCTCAAGGCTTCTGGAGATCTGAATATCTTGGTTACCTCACGGATTTGTCGAAAATTCAACACCCAAAATCTACTTCTACATCTACAACTCAGCTACACTCAACTGACGAAGAATGGCCCGAACGAAGCAGACTGCACGAAAGAGTACCGGAGGAAAGGCACCCAGGAAGCAACTGGCTACCAAGGCTGCAAGAAAGAGCGCACCTTCCACCGGCGGTGTGAAGAAGCCTCACCGATACAGACCAGGAACCGTTGCCCTGAGGGAGATCAGGAGATACCAGAAGTCCACTGAGCTGTTGATCCGAAAGCTGCCCTTCCAGCGACTGGTCAGAGAAATCGCCCAGGACTTCAAGACTGACTTGCGGTTCCAGAGCACTGCAATCATGGCTCTGCAGGAAGCCAGCGAGAGCTACTTGGTCAGCCTGTTCGAGGACACCAACTTGTGCGCGATCCACGCCAAGAGAGTCACGATCATGCCCAAGGACATCCAGTTGGCTCGACGAATCCGAGGAGAGCGAGCTTAAGCTCTAGGTGTACTCCACACCAACCAAACCGGCCTTTTTAAAGGCCACCCAACTATCAGTTCTATATTTCTTCACAGTGAGCTTAGCTCAAGCTAACTTCGACCAGAGCAAGCTCAAGCTGGTATAGGTTGAGCTCTGCTTCCCCCTCATTGGGGTGACGCAGCTGGAAATTGAGCTCGAGCTAGCTGTTCAATTGCTCCCGTACGTAGCCTAACTTTTTTGAGCTTCGAGTTCTCAGAGCTTGGCAAGCTACCTCATAGAGCTCAGGCAAGCTTGTATGAGCTTGATTTAAATCAGAGAGCTCGAATAAGCTCTGTGGACTGACCAGTTTAAGCTAGTACACCTTGTGTGAGCTCAAAATTTTTTCAATTGCTCCCGTACGTAGCCTAACTATTTTTAAGTTAGAGCTCTCAGAGCTCGGCAAGCTATCTCACAGACCTCAAGCGAGCTTCTACGGGCTTGATTTAAATCACATAGCTCTGATAAGCTCTGTGGACTGACCAGTTTGAGGTAGAAGGTCTTGTGGGAGCTCAAAAAAAAAAGTTTCAATTGCTCCTTTACGTGCCTAACTTTTTTTAATACTTATTATCTGCTCTCTCATTGGCTGTTGGTATGAGGGCCAATCAGAGAGCAGAGAAGTCGGTCGAAAATTGATAGGTACCTAGCGATTTTTGCCAATCTCAAACCCAACTGCTACTTCAATTTCTACAACAACTACAACTGCAACAACCATGTCTGGACGAGGAAAGGGAGGAAAAGGACTTGGCAAAGGAGGAGCAAAGAGGCACCGAAAGATCCTAAGAGATAACATCCAAGGCATCACCAAGCCAGCCATCAGACGTCTTGCTCGACGAGGAGGTGTCAAGCGTATCAGTGGACTGATCTACGAAGAGACCCGAGGAGTGCTCAAGAACTACTTGGAGAGCGTGATCAGGGATGCTGTAACCTACACCGAGCACGCCAAGAGGAAGACCGTTGTAGCCATGGACATCGTCTACGCCCTCAAGAGACAAGGCAAGACCTTGTACGGATTCGGAGGTTAAGAAGCTTCTTAGCCAGCTGCTCTCCTAGCTGCAGCACCAAACCGGCCTTTTTAAAGGCCACCAACTATCTCAGTTCTTAAGTCAAGCTCTGCTAGAGCTCTAACAAGCTCTGCTAGAGCTCTAATAAGCTCAGCTAGTTAGTGTAGAGCTTTCAGCGTCTCTAAATTAACTTAAAATGCTAGCTCGATTCTGATTGGCTCTCCCATCTTGGTGGTCGATTTGAACTTACTACCCTAAGACAGGGAGCCAAATTGCGGGTAAAGTCAATCGTCAATCTACAGCTTCTACCACAACAGCTACAACTACAACACGATGTCAGGCAAAGGAGGAAAATCGAAGAGCGGCAAAGTTGGAGCCAAGGCCAAGACCCGATCAAGCCGAGCTGGACTGCAGTTCCCTGTTGGAAGAATCCACCGATTCATCCGCAAGGGCAACTACGCTGAGCGAGTTGGTGCTGGAGCCCCAGTCTACCTTGCTGCTGTGCTCGAGTACTTGACTGCTGAGATCCTTGAGCTGGCTGGCAACGCTGCTAAAGACAACAAGAAGTCCAGGATCATCCCCAGACACTTGCAGTTGGCCATCAGGAACGACGAAGAGTTGAACAAGCTGCTCCACGGAGTGACCATTGCTCAGGGCGGTGTGCTGCCAAACATCCAGGCTGTGCTCCTACCCAAGAAGCAGTCTTCGTCTCAGCCCAAGTCTGACAAGAAGTAAAGAGCTTCTACCTCAACCAGTTGCTAGCTTTCAAGCTTCAACACCAAACCGGCCTTTTTAAAGGCCACCAAATTTAAAGTTCTATCTTTTTATCCTGCTTAGCAGGCATAGCTAAGCTACTCAGAGCAAACTATGGGGGCCTAACAACACTAGCTAGCCTCGAGCTGGACTGGCAGTCCAAAATTGAAGCTTTATTTAGCTTTCAGCTGAGAGCCAATCAGAATTGAGTATTCTTCGAGCTCGATTTGAACACAATTTTTCAAGTTAGGTTGGCTTTTTGATCGATCCACAACTCAACACCACTACAACTACATCTCTACAATGGCACCCAAAGTCAGCGGAAAGGCAGTCAAGAAGGCAGGCAAAGCCCAGAAGAAGCCCACTGGAGACAAGAAAAAGAAGAAGAAGAGGCGAGAGACCTACTCTCTCTACATCTACAAGGTGCTGAAGCAGGTCCACCCTGACACCGGCATCTCCTCCAAGGCTATGTCGATCATGAACAGCTTCGTGAACGACATCTTCGAGAGAATCGCCGGTGAAGCTTCAAAACTGGCCCACTACAACAAGCGATCAACCATCTCTAGCCGGGAGATCCAAACCGCAGTCAGACTGCTGTTGCCCGGAGAGCTGGCCAAGCATGCTGTCAGTGAGGGAACCAAGGCCGTCACCAAGTACACCAGCTCCAAGTAGACGATCAGCTTCTACAACTAGTTGCTCTGAGCAACACCAAACCGGCCTTTTTAAAGGCCACCAAAAAGCATAGTTCTATTTGTACTCTAGCTAGCAAGCTCAAATTGGCTTGTATGCAATTTCGAGCTCTCAACAGCTAGCTTTGAGCGTCTAATTTGAGCTACTAAGCTCAACTGAGCTTGTAACTTGCTTAAATCAGCTCCAGACCAACTTTAGAGCTAAAAAACTGCTAAATTTTAAGCTTTCACGTCTCAGCCAATCAGATTTGAGCTTCATTTTGCTCTCTAACTTACAGCTCGAAATAGCTAAGTTTAAGCTTACAAAGCTAGCTAACAAGTCCAATTCAGCTAGCTTAAGCTGAAGTGAGCTTTTAGCTGGCTGAAGTTAGCTTTGGGTCAATTCTAGAGGCAGAAACACCAAAATTTCAAGTTTTCACTTCTCAGCCAATCAGATTCGAGCTTAGTTTGAGCTTCCGCTATCACTCAGACACGGGCCAATCACCTATGCCGCTTTTGGCGGGTAACCTCCAATCCAAGTATAAATAGTCTGCACTTCACATACTTTACTATATATAGTTGAAAATGCTCCTTAATATATATAAGTAACGACTCACCAGAGCTCTCCTTCTATTGCTCTTTTACGTGCCTAACTATTTTTTTATACGTCGAGCGCTCTCAAGGCTTCTGGAGATCTGAATATCTTGGTTACCTCACGGATTTGTCCAAAATTCAACACCCAAAATCTACTTCTACATCTACAACTCAGCTACACTCAACTGACGAAGAATGGCCCGAACGAAGCAGACTGCACGAAAGAGTACCGGAGGAAAGGCACCCAGGAAGCAACTGGCTACCAAGGCTGCAAGAAAGAGCGCACCTTCCACCGGCGGTGTGAAGAAGCCTCACCGATACAGACCAGGAACCGTTGCCCTGAGGGAGATCAGGAGATACCAGAAGTCCACTGAGCTGTTGATCCGAAAGCTGCCCTTCCAGCGACTGGTCAGAGAAATCGCCCAGGACTTCAAGACTGACTTGCGGTTCCAGAGCACTGCAATCATGGCTCTGCAGGAAGCCAGCGAGAGCTACTTGGTCAGCCTGTTCGAGGACACCAACTTGTGCGCGATCCACGCCAAGAGAGTCACGATCATGCCCAAGGACATCCAGTTGGCTCGACGAATCCGAGGAGAGCGAGCTTAAGCTCTAGGTGTACTCCACACCAACCAAACCGGCCTTTTTAAAGGCCACCCAACTATCAGTTCTATATTTCTTCACAGTGAGCTTAGCTCAAGCTAACTTCGACCAGAGCAAGCTCAAGCTGGTATAGGTTGAGCTCTGCTTCCCCCTCATTGGGGTGACGCAGCTGGAAATTGAGCTCGAGCTAGCTGTTCAATTGCTCCCGTACGTAGCCTAACTTTTTTGAGCTTCGAGTTCTCAGAGCTTGGCAAGCTACCTCATAGAGCTCAGGCAAGCTTGTATGAGCTTGATTTAAATCAGAGAGCTCGAATAAGCTCTGTGGACTGACCAGTTTAAGCTAGTACACCTTGTGTGAGCTCAAAATTTTTTCAATTGCTCCCGTACGTAGCCTAACTATTTTTAAGTTAGAGCTCTCAGAGCTCGGCAAGCTATCTCACAGACCTCAAGCGAGCTTCTACGGGCTTGATTTAAATCACATAGCTCTGATAAGCTCTGTGGACTGACCAGTTTGAGGTAGAAGGTCTTGTGGGAGCTCAAAAAAAAAAGTTTCAATTGCTCCTTTACGTGCCTAACTTTTTTTAATACTTATTATCTGCTCTCTCATTGGCTGTTGGTATGAGGGCCAATCAGAGAGCAGAGAAGTCGGTCGAAAATTGATAGGTACCTAGCGATTTTTGCCAATCTCAAACCCAACTGCTACTTCAATTTCTACAACAACTACAACTGCAACAACCATGTCTGGACGAGGAAAGGGAGGAAAAGGACTTGGCAAAGGAGGAGCAAAGAGGCACCGAAAGATCCTAAGAGATAACATCCAAGGCATCACCAAGCCAGCCATCAGACGTCTTGCTCGACGAGGAGGTGTCAAGCGTATCAGTGGACTGATCTACGAAGAGACCCGAGGAGTGCTCAAGAACTACTTGGAGAGCGTGATCAGGGATGCTGTAACCTACACCGAGCACGCCAAGAGGAAGACCGTTGTAGCCATGGACATCGTCTACGCCCTCAAGAGACAAGGCAAGACCTTGTACGGATTCGGAGGTTAAGAAGCTTCTTAGCCAGCTGCTCTCCTAGCTGCAGCACCAAACCGGCCTTTTTAAAGGCCACCAACTATCTCAGTTCTTAAGTCAAGCTCTGCTAGAGCTCTAACAAGCTCTGCTAGAGCTCTAATAAGCTCAGCTAGTTAGTGTAGAGCTTTCAGCGTCTCTAAATTAACTTAAAATGCTAGCTCGATTCTGATTGGCTCTCCCATCTTGGTGGTCGATTTGAACTTACTACCCTAAGACAGGGAGCCAAATTGCGGGTAAAGTCAATCGTCAATCTACAGCTTCTACCACAACAGCTACAACTACAACACGATGTCAGGCAAAGGAGGAAAATCGAAGAGCGGCAAAGTTGGAGCCAAGGCCAAGACCCGATCAAGCCGAGCTGGACTGCAGTTCCCTGTTGGAAGAATCCACCGATTCATCCGCAAGGGCAACTACGCTGAGCGAGTTGGTGCTGGAGCCCCAGTCTACCTTGCTGCTGTGCTCGAGTACTTGACTGCTGAGATCCTTGAGCTGGCTGGCAACGCTGCTAAAGACAACAAGAAGTCCAGGATCATCCCCAGACACTTGCAGTTGGCCATCAGGAACGACGAAGAGTTGAACAAGCTGCTCCACGGAGTGACCATTGCTCAGGGCGGTGTGCTGCCAAACATCCAGGCTGTGCTCCTACCCAAGAAGCAGTCTTCGTCTCAGCCCAAGTCTGACAAGAAGTAAAGAGCTTCTACCTCAACCAGTTGCTAGCTTTCAAGCTTCAACACCAAACCGGCCTTTTTAAAGGCCACCAAATTTAAAGTTCTATCTTTTTATCCTGCTTAGCAGGCATAGCTAAGCTACTCAGAGCAAACTATGGGGGCCTAACAACACTAGCTAGCCTCGAGCTGGACTGGCAGTCCAAAATTGAAGCTTTATTTAGCTTTCAGCTGAGAGCCAATCAGAATTGAGTATTCTTCGAGCTCGATTTGAACACAATTTTTCAAGTTAGGTTGGCTTTTTGATCGATCCACAACTCAACACCACTACAACTACATCTCTACAATGGCACCCAAAGTCAGCGGAAAGGCAGTCAAGAAGGCAGGCAAAGCCCAGAAGAAGCCCACTGGAGACAAGAAAAAGAAGAAGAAGAGGCGAGAGACCTACTCTCTCTACATCTACAAGGTGCTGAAGCAGGTCCACCCTGACACCGGCATCTCCTCCAAGGCTATGTCGATCATGAACAGCTTCGTGAACGACATCTTCGAGAGAATCGCCGGTGAAGCTTCAAAACTGGCCCACTACAACAAGCGATCAACCATCTCTAGCCGGGAGATCCAAACCGCAGTCAGACTGCTGTTGCCCGGAGAGCTGGCCAAGCATGCTGTCAGTGAGGGAACCAAGGCCGTCACCAAGTACACCAGCTCCAAGTAGACGATCAGCTTCTACAACTAGTTGCTCTGAGCAACACCAAACCGGCCTTTTTAAAGGCCACCAAAAAGCATAGTTCTATTTGTACTCTAGCTAGCAAGCTCAAATTGGCTTGTATGCAATTTCGAGCTCTCAACAGCTAGCTTTGAGCGTCTAATTTGAGCTACTAAGCTCAACTGAGCTTGTAACTTGCTTAAATCAGCTCCAGACCAACTTTAGAGCTAAAAAACTGCTAAATTTTAAGCTTTCACGTCTCAGCCAATCAGATTTGAGCTTCATTTTGCTCTCTAACTTACAGCTCGAAATAGCTAAGTTTAAGCTTACAAAGCTAGCTAACAAGTCCAATTCAGCTAGCTTAAGCTGAAGTGAGCTTTTAGCTGGCTGAAGTTAGCTTTGGGTCAATTCTAGAGGCAGAAACACCAAAATTTCAAGTTTTCACTTCTCAGCCAATCAGATTCGAGCTTAGTTTGAGCTTCCGCTATCACTCAGACACGGGCCAATCACCTATGCCGCTTTTGGCGGGTAACCTCCAATCCAAGTATAAATAGTCTGCACTTCACATACTTTACTATATATAGTTGAAAATGCTCCTTAATATATATAAGTAACGACTCACCAGAGCTCTCCTTCTATTGCTCTTTTACGTGCCTAACTATTTTTTTATACGTCGAGCGCTCTCAAGGCTTCTGGAGATCTGAATATCTTGGTTACCTCACGGATTTGTCCAAAATTCAACACCCAAAATCTACTTCTACATCTACAACTCAGCTACACTCAACTGACGAAGAATGGCCCGAACGAAGCAGACTGCACGAAAGAGTACCGGAGGAAAGGCACCCAGGAAGCAACTGGCTACCAAGGCTGCAAGAAAGAGCGCACCTTCCACCGGCGGTGTGAAGAAGCCTCACCGATACAGACCAGGAACCGTTGCCCTGAGGGAGATCAGGAGATACCAGAAGTCCACTGAGCTGTTGATCCGAAAGCTGCCCTTCCAGCGACTGGTCAGAGAAATCGCCCAGGACTTCAAGACTGACTTGCGGTTCCAGAGCACTGCAATCATGGCTCTGCAGGAAGCCAGCGAGAGCTACTTGGTCAGCCTGTTCGAGGACACCAACTTGTGCGCGATCCACGCCAAGAGAGTCACGATCATGCCCAAGGACATCCAGTTGGCTCGACGAATCCGAGGAGAGCGAGCTTAAGCTCTAGGTGTACTCCACACCAACCAAACCGGCCTTTTTAAAGGCCACCCAACTATCAGTTCTATATTTCTTCACAGTGAGCTTAGCTCAAGCTAACTTCGACCAGAGCAAGCTCAAGCTGGTATAGGTTGAGCTCTGCTTCCCCCTCATTGGGGTGACTCAGCTGGAAATTGAGCTCGAGCTAGCTGTTCAATTGCTACAGAACGTAGCCTAACTTTTTTGAGCTTCGAGCTCTCAGAGCTCGACAAGCTACCTCATAGAGCTCAGGCAAGCTTGTATGAGCTTGATCTAAATCACAGAGCTCGAATAACCTGTGGACTGACCAGTTTGAGCTAGTACAACTTGTGTGAGCTCAAAATTTTTTCAATTGCTCCTGTACGTAGCCTAACTATTTTTAAGTTCGAGCTCCCAGATCTCGGCAAGCTATCTCAGAGAGCTCAAGCGAGCTTCTACGAGCTTGATTTTAATCACAGAGCTCGAATAAGCTCTGTGGACTGCCCAGTTTGAGTTGGTACTCCTTGTGTGAGCTCAAACTTTTTTCAATTGCTCCCGTACGTAGCCTAATTATTTTTAAGTTCGAGCTCTCAGAGCTCGGCAAGCTATCTCAGAGAGCTCAAGCGAGCTTCAATGAGCTTGATTTATAAAGCATAGCTCAGATAAGCTCTCTGGACTGACCAGTTTGTGTTAGAAGGTCTTGTGGGAGCTCATAAAAAATCAATTGCTCCTTTATGTGCCTAACTTTTTTATACGTGAAATAATTTTCGTTCCGGTTGAGCTCTGCTTCTTATCAGCTCTCGCATTGGCTGTTGGTATGAGGGCCAATGAGAGAGCAGAGAAGTCGGTCGAAAAATGATAGGTACCTAGCGATTTTTGCCAATCCGGAACCCAACTTCTATTTCAAATTTTACAACAACTACAACTGCAACAACCGTGTCTGGACGAGGAAAGGGAGGAAAAGGACTTGGAAAAGGAGGAGCAAAGAGGCAGCGAAAGATCTTAAGAGATAACATCCAAGAAATCACCAAGCCAGCCATCAGACGTCTTGCTTTACGAGGAGGTGTCAAGCGTATCAATGGACTGATCTACGAAGAGACCCGAGGAGTGCTCAAAAACATTTTGGAGAGCGTGATCAGGGATGCTGTAACCTACACCGAGCACGCCAAGAGGAAGAACGTTGAAGCCATGGACATCGTCTACGCCCTCAAGAGACAAGGCAAGACCTTGTACAGATTCGGTGCTTAAGAAACTTCTAACCAGCTGCTCTCCTAGCTGCAGCACCAAACCGGCCTTTTTAAAGGCCACCAACTATCTCAAATCTTAGGTCCAGCTCTGCTAGAGCTCAAACTAGTTCAGCTAGTTAGTCTAGAGCTTTCAGCGTGTCTAAACTAACTTAAAACGCTAGCTCGATTCTGATTGGCTCTCCCATCTTGGTGGTCGATTTGAACATGCTACCTTAAGACAGGTAGCCAAATTGCGGGTAAAGTCAATCGTCAATCTACAGCTTCTACCACAACAGCTACAACTACAACTTGATGTTAGGCAAAGGAGGAAAATCGGAGAGCGGCAAAGTTGGAGCCAAGGCCAAGACCCGATCAAGCCGAGCTGGCTGCAGTTCCCTAATGGAAGAATCCATCGATTCATCCGCAAGGGTAACTACGCTGAGCAAGTTGGTGCTGGAGCCCCGGTCTGACTTGCTGCTGTGCTCGAGTACGTGACTGCTGTGATCCTTGAGCTGGCTGGCATTGCTGCTAAAGACAACAAGAAGTCCAGGATCATACCCAGACACTTGCAGTTGGCCATCAGGAACGACGAAGAGTTGAACAAGCTGCTCCACGGAGTGACCATTGCTCAGGGTGGTGTGGTGCCAAACATCCAGGCTGTGCTCCTAGCCAAGAAGCAGTCTTCGTCTCAGCCCAAGTCTGACATGAAGCAAAGACCTTCTACCTCAACCAAATGCTAGCTTTCAAGCTTCAACGCCAAACCGGCCTTTTTAAAGGCCACCAATGTACTAGTTCAATATACGCGTAGTACTAATTTTATAGTAATTAATGCAAATTTTTATGTCTGGTGCAAGGCTAGTTTTTTTACAAACAAAAAAAAATGACCTATTCACCAGCAAAAAAGAAGGTTAAGTATGAAAATTAAAATTTGAGAACCAATAGCAGAACTAAAAAATTGGTAATGTTCATAAAATTAATAGCTTAGTTCCAAGTTTTCAGCAGTTAAGGCAAAAATTGAAAACTTAAGACAATTCGATTGATGATAAAATGAACTCTTTGTTTTTGCTTGCGTCGGGCTATAGTTTTTTTTTGCTACATTTAAAAACATTGAAAACAACTAGTATATACGCACGATTCAACCGAAATTGTTACGCTGAAGGTTGGCGAAAAAGTAAACCTCAAGTTTTCTGAGTTTGGGAGAAGATGGCAAAGAAAATGATTTGCATTGATATACAGTTTTTTCAAACCAAATTTTTTGTTTTGCTTGAATTGGTTTGTTTCGGTCTGAACCAGTGGTGTATAAAGGGATGAAGATGTCTTTCTCTCCCCGGTTTTGCCTATACAAAATAAAAGCTCGAAGGGGCTCAAATTGATATCATATTTAAGCATTTCAAGTTGGGATTCAGATTCCGAAACAAAGTATCTAAGTGTTGAGTAAAAAATAATTGAGGTTTTTTGTTTATCCTGTTGAATTAGATAAATAATAACAAAAAGAGGTGCCGTTATCTAAAATTAACTTTACTTAAATTTTATCAAAACTTTAATTTATCTTAGCACTTTATTATTGAATTTTTCACCGGATTAATTAGCCTATAAATAAAATCAAGTAAAAAAAAGAAACTTTATTCAACGAAAAAAAGTTTTAGGAAATTTCTTCATCATTTTTAATTGCTTTTTAAAATTTTTCTTCTGTCAGTGTGGTCAGCACGTTCTGCTTCTTGCGCCCCCCTTCCGAGCATAACTTTATGGTGTAGCGATTGGTTCTACAAGAATGGTTATGAATACCAAATATTTTTATGGCCTAATTAGTCTTCATTAATTTTCATTACAATCGAACAATGTGATCAGTAAATTAGGTTTTAAAAATTTGCAGGTGAGGGAAAAGAAAAAGAACCGGATGATCAATGGCAAAACTTATAATTTTTCATTGCTAAATAAAAACTCGTTAATTTTTTTCTCCAAACTCTACTTGAAAACAAATGAATTTTTATCTAATCAAAATGAGGATTTGACTCAAAAAGCGACTTCTACTAACATGCGGATTACTTTAAATTCATTATGCATAGATATTGTCGTCTTGGAAAATTTGACTGTTTAGACCCAATATATCCCCTCTATATTGTCCCTTTCCTTAATTCCAGAACCAGCAAGGGGTGAGATGTGATCCGGTATTTGGCGAAAGTACCTTCGGTTGAAAAGTTGAATTTGGTGGTCGATCGATGTACTACACTGGGTTGAGCCCCCTTTGCTCGATTGCTCTGGACTGTTCTCTTCCTCGGAAAGAATCGCAAGAAACTGGATAGTAATTGAATTCAGAAATAAATATATAAATTGCCGAGTATAAGGCACGCTACGTGGCCTAAATACAATTTATTAATTATCAACGAATTTATTCTGCGATAAGTTCCAGAATGCTGCCTCTTGCAGTTCACTTTACAAACAATTCTAAACAGCTCTTCAACTTTGCTTTACAAAGCTTCACTAAAATCTCGCGTCGAGAACTCACTTTAAAAATTTCACGAATCACTGGGTAGTTCTCACACAACCGGGAATTTAACTTCCGTGATACTTGAAAAGTTTCCATTTTTGGTCATTTTTAATTTTATTCCCCTGAACTCAAACTTGGGTAAATCCCTTCACCGTGTCCGTTTTGATCCGAAAAAACACCACAAGAATTTCTTTAATATGCTAGGGCTGTTCATAAAATCTTCATCCCAAATTTCCCATTTCGCCCCATAGATATTCCCAATTTTTGTCCGGGGCTGCATTTTTACTTGTTTGTCGTTCTTATCGAAAGTCCAAGTGAAGTGGGTTAAAATGACCCCAATTTTTGCTAATTACAGAAAATCACTTTCGCTCGGGTACAAACGTCAAAACTAAAAATTCTCGATTTAGGGGCCTCCCCTTACCTCCCAAGGTGGGTAGGTACCCCTTACGGGTCCTTACAATGCTACTTTTTTGCTTTTCAGGGGGTTCCGGGGGTCTTGGGGTCAAAATGCCAAATGACCTCTTAGAGGTCATCCGAGGTCAAATGAGGTCAAACACGTCCAAAGGTCTTATTTTCGATGGAAGATCATTCCCAGTAAATTATATTCAAATCGGACCATCCCTTCCCATATTTTCGAAAAATTCGGGTCAATTAACACTGTTCCCTAAAGTTGCCATTTTCACCCCATAGGAAGTTCCGGAAGAGGAATGAGTCACAAGGTGTCCCCTACTGGGTTGTCCCCCTCCCTTCACATTGGTGCTTTAAAACCACAAGTCAATTATCACTATTAGGTGTTAATAGCCTAATTCAATTTTCAAGTGCTAATAGCTTCCGACGTAGCAGCCGGATTGAGTCCAAACATTGATACATTATAGTTCTTCTCCCAACCTACCATCCCCCCAAGTTTCAGCCTCCTAGCATTATCAGGCGTTGAGAAATAACGAAAAGTGGGTTTTGTTTACATAGGGCGTAAAACCGGAGTTAATAACGGGCTGCGTTCAAAATCCCGGTGGTGAACTTCAACTTCCCTCGCCTAGGGCTACAACATCTTGCAATATGAAGTCATTCTGACCATTATTTACCGGTTTACAAAAAGTGCTAATTGCATTTTCGGAAACCATTATCACTCGCCCCCCAGTGATCCCAGGGTCTGGAAATTGGCATGCCCGGCTAAAATCATCTCTATTAGTCACCCTCCAATTTTCATAACAATCGGACAAGTTGTTCCCAATCCGAGGGGAAGGGGTTCCAGATTATGCGCGCTTTTCCAATTCTTCGCCCTAGAGGTCAGA